CCTGCCCCTCGTCGCAGCTGGCTGGCTGGCTGAGGCAGGGCTGAGCGAGCGTGCACCTGCTCTGCGCTCTTGCCTGTGCCCTCACCCTCGCCCGTGCCTTGCTGCTGTCGCTTGCGCTGCAGGAGATGAAGATAGACGATGTGGACCGCGTGCTAGACGAGATCAATGACCAGACGGACCAGATGCGGCAGATCCAGGATGCCATGGGGCAGCCCATCGGCGCCGCCGCCGACATCGACGAGGATGAGCTGCTGGGGGAGCTGGAGGTGTGTGGGGTGTGTGTTGGGAGGGCCTGGCTGCCTGGGTTGAGCTGTGGCTGTGTCGATGGGGCTGCAGGGAGCTGGCGAGGGTGGCTAGCCGTGATGCCCGGGGTGGACCATCGGGATGTTGCTGTTTGCACCCCTGCATGTCGACCTCGCCTGCATGTCGACCTCGCCTGCCTGACTCCTGGCCTGCCTGCCACCCTCCTGCAGGAGCTGGAGGCGACCCAGCTGGACGAGGCGATGCTCAGCGAGACGGCGCCGGTGCCCGCCCACAAGATCCCCGCCGCCTCGCTGCCCGCCATGCCCTCTGCGCCCACCACCAAGGCGCAGCCCGCGGCTGCCGCCAAGACTCCAGAGGAGCTGGAGCTGGAGGCGCTGCAAGCGGAGATGGCCTTGTGATGAGGCGGGCGCCAAGCGCCGGCCCGGCCTCGCTCGACCTTTGTCCTGCTCAGCCACGAGCAACCGGTGGTCCCGTGTCAGCACTGCTGTCCCAGCTGCTGCAGCAGGATTCATTCAGCTTTCTAGGCAGCTGCGGCGGCGGCGGGCTGGGCTTGACCGAGGGCAGCACATCAGCAGCTGCGGAGATCTGCCGCAGCTGTGCCGCCGCCTCCAGCCCGCCGTCGCATGCCGCCTCCCTCTCTTCTTGTTTGCTCTCTGTACAGTACCGCCTTCGTCACCTGTGCCATATGTATGTGCGTCTCTCAAGTCTCCCGATGACTGTAACAGCACTGCTCTGCCAGCACCGACGTGGAGCAAGAACTGCATCTGGCGGCTCTTCGCTGGCGCCAGTGTTCAGCCGCCGCCAGGTAGGACATCATGACATATCATATGCAGCATATGGCGGTGTGCGGCACACTGGACGGCATACCCTAGCCTCTCCCAGTGCCTGCTACACCCGCAGGCACTGCATGCACGGCTCTAGGGCTGACTTCTGACACCGGCAGGCGTGGTGGCTTCGCTTCTCGCAGTGGCGCCGGGCCCCTAGCAGCCTCCATAGTGCGCTGTGGCGATGGGACGCCACGACAGGCCCGAAAACTCGGCGCCGCCCGAGATTTTTTACAATGAGGACGAGGCCCGCAAGTACACAGAGAACAGCCGCATGGTGACTATCCAGACCACCCTGACGGAGCGGGCGCTGGAGCTGCTGGCGCTGCCGGACGACGGCGAGCCCAAGCTGCTGCTGGACCTGGGCTGCGGGTCGGGGCTCAGCGGCGAGGCGCTGACCGAGCGCGGCCACGTCTGGGTGGTGAGCACCTCCGCCGCCGCCCCCCCTGCACGCCCGCCTGCTGCCAGCGAGCGACCCACAGAGCCACGCAGCACGGTTTGCTGCGCCGGCATGGCTGTGTCGCGGTGCTTGTGCCGCTCCGCTGGCGAGGCGTGCTGTGCTGGCGATGTGCTGCTTCCCCCGCCTACCTCGGCGCAGGGCCTGGACATCAGCAAGGCCATGCTGGATGTGGCGGCGGAGCGGGAAGTGGAGGGCGACCTGTGCCTGCACGACCTGGGCCACGGCCTGCCCATCCGCCCCGGCACCGCAGACGGCGCCATCTCCATCTCCGCCGTGCAGTGGCTGTGCAACGCGGTGAGCGCAGCCCCGCCTCTCCACACACCCAGCCCGCTGCCAGCCTGCTGCCAGCCGAGCCCTGCTGGCTCACACGGCAGGAGGCCCCCAGAGCGCTGGCCGTGCCGGCGGAAGGAACACGGCCGCTCCCACCACCTGCCTCCCTCGCCTCCCTGCCCCCACATCCCTGCCTCCTCTCCCGCTGCCCCGCCCCCGCAGGACACCAGCGCCAACGAGCCGCGCAAGCGCCTGCGCCGCTTCTTCGACTCACTGTACGCGTGCCTGGCCAAGGGCGCGCGCGCCGTGCTGCAGATCTATCCGGCCAACACCGAGCAGGCGGCGATGATGACCAACGCCGCCATGCGCGCCGGCTTCAGCGGCGGCCTGGTGGTGGACTTCCCGCACAGGTGGGGGCAGGGCTGGGGCCTGGGCTGGGGCTGGGGCTGCGGCTGGGACTGGGGCTGGGTATGCGTCATGTTTGGCTTGCCTGCTTGCCTGCCTGCCCTGCCCCGCCGCCGCGGGGCGCCCCTCGCCATCGCTGGGCGCCCCCAGCCAACCCACCCACCCCATGCGCTCCCGCACGCTCGCCCCGTCTCCCACGCCGCGCCGCCGCCCGCAGCACCCGCGCCAAGAAGTACTTTCTGGTGCTGATGGTGGGCGGCACGGCGGCGCTGCCGCAGGCCAGGGGCCTGGACGGCGGTGAGCCCGATGAGGAGGATGCGGCGGCGGAGGTGTATGTGGGTCACAGGAAGACCAAGCGGCGAAAGCAGGGGCACGGCGACAAGGTGGGTGGCTGCCCACGGGTGGTGTGTGTGTGTGTGAGTAGGACCGTGGCTGGTGCGCAGCTGCGAGCAGCGCTGGATGGATGTGGGGCATCGGCTTCCAGTGTGCCTCGGCCCTTGCCTGACTTGGCCTGCCCTGCCTTTTGCTGCGTCTGTGTGGCGCAGGCCTCCAAGCGGGACTGGATTGTGAGGAAGAAGGCGCAGCAGCGGTCGCGGGGGTACACCGCCGTCAAGCCCGACAGCAAGTACACGGGGCGCAAGCGGAAAGACAGGTTCTGAGGGGTGTGTGGAGGACCGCCTCCGCCGCCCTGCACCCCTCTTGCTGCTGCCTGTCAATTTGTTTTTGTTCTTCTCTGCTGCTTGCTCGTGCCTGCTCCCTCCTCTCGCCTTGCTGCTTCTTTGACCTGCTTTCATCTCATGCACTGCCTGCCACAATGCCGGCGGCTACACGCCGCCATCCGCCATGCTCCCCGATGGTTGTGTGAGAGCGCAATGGGCGGAAGCGTCGCCACGCACGAGCAGGGCCAAACCCCGCTGCATGCCACAGCAGCCTTGCTTTCACACTTTTCTGAAGTGTGTTGCATGTAGTGCAGAAGTGGGAAAACATGGGGGGCACTGTGCTGGCGGCGCTGCCCGGCAGGCAGCCGGTCACCGCTGCGGTGCCGCCTTGCAGAAGCCTCAGGCGTTGCACGACTTGAAGTGGTGCTCGTCGATGGTGGAGTAGAGGTGGCCCTCGTTCTGCAGCGCCTCCACCGCCTCCCGCACCTGCACCAGGCTGTACCGCCCGCCAGAGCGGGACAGCACCTGCGCCGGCGGCCAGGGCAGCAGGCATCGCGGGGCGGGCATGAGAGCGGAGCAGGGGAGCAGACCCGGGCTGGGGGCCACCTCCAGCCAGCCAGCCAGCCCACAGCATGCCGCCTCAGCCGGCTGCCCTGCCTGCGATGGCGGGTCATGCCCGCGCGCCCGCCCCGCGGGCGGCACCGCCGCCTGCGCACCGCGTCAATTGAGATGCCTGCGTCGCTGGCCTGGGCATCGGGCGCGTTGAACAGGGTCATGAGGTCAGACTGGATGGCAGTGAGCCCGCCGGGGTTGTAGCCGGCTGCGGGCGGGAGGGGCAAGGGGTGGGTTTTGTTGAGCGGCGGCGGCGGGTGGAGAGGTGCGGCAGCAGCACAAGGACAGCTGGGCTGCGCCGGGCGGTGAGAGGGCCAGGCGGGAGGCCCCGCAGGCGCGACGGCGGGGCATGCCCAGGCCGGAAGGGGAGCCCACGCACCCGCTGCTGGCGCTGCGTAGCCGGCCACAGCCGGGGCGGCCCCGCCGTAGGCGCCCTGGGCGGCGGGGGCGGGCGCGGCGGCGGCGCCCGCCTGATCGCCGCCGCCCTTTGTGAGGTGCACGTGCTGGAAGATGCACTGCAGGAAGTGGTAGGTGACCTGCGGCGGGGGAAGGGGGGGGGAGGGTGGTGGGAGGGCACAGCGCAGCGTAGAGCATCGTGCAGCCGCGCAGCTGCTGAGCTTAGCACCTGCACTTATGCACAAACGCACCCAAAGCACACGCGTGCATGCATGCACCACCGCCACCACCACCACCACCGCCACCGCCACCACCATCCCGCTACACGCACACACACACACACACAAACACACACACTCTCTCTCCCCTGCAGGGCCCCACCTCGTTGTGGTCTGTGACGGTCCGTATGTTGAAGGCCAGCACATCCTGGGTGCGCCCAAAGTTGGAGATGTGGCCGTGCACCCGCACATACATGCCCGCACGCCACTCGGCGCGCCGCTGCTTCTCCAGCTCGCTGTCTGCGGCGCAGGCGGACGGGCAGGCAGGGGGTGGGGACCCCCCTCAGCACGCCAGCACAGGAGGCTCTCGGGCCCGCTGCGCACGCACGCTGGACGCCAGTGGGGCAGCCGCACCCTGCTCGTGCAGGCTGACGCTGCCGCCGCCGCCGCGGCAGGCATCCCACCGTCCGCCTCACCGTCCTCGCTGATCCAGATCTTTACGTCCGCCTTGCCGGTGCCGTCGTCGATCTTCAGGCCAAAGGTGAGGCCCGACTCGCTGGTGGACAGCACCTTGCCGACCAGCGTGACCTGCGGGCGGCAGGGGGCGGGGGCAGCAGCGGGCAGCGGCATGGGCGACAGGCCTACCCACCGAGAGGATGAGAGGGCCGGCAAGCGGCACTCTGTGCAGCTGGGCTGGCGCACGGCGTCCCGAGGTGTTGGGAAGAGCTGTCACACCAGCGTCCCGAGGGTGCGCCCGGAGGGTGCTGGGCTGCTGGCGCACAGGCTGGGGCCTCTGGGGAGTGGAGATGGAGCCCCCCAGCGCTCACGTTTGTGATTTCCTTGCCGTCCAGAAGCAGGGTGTCGTCCTGGCGGGTGGAGTTGGCGTCGTGAAGCTGCTTGATGGTCAGCGCGCGCAGCGTCTGCTGCTTGCTGTCGTAGTTCTTCTGCGGGCAGGCGGGCAGGCAGGGCAGGCGACGGAGGCAAGGCACCAAAGGCGGTCGGCGGCTGGCGAGGCGCATGCGAAGATGGAGCCAGCGCAGGGAGCAGTGGGGGTGGGAACACCATCAAATGGCAAGAGGGTGAGGGCTGACGAGGCATCCGCGGGCTGCCAAGGCAAGCGGTGCCCCTGGTGCTTCGCAGCGGCGCAGTGCAAGGCACCCCCGCCGCTACCGCCCACCTTGCCGCTGGCGCCACCGCCGCCACCACCGCCAGCTTGCCTGCACAACGGCCCCAACATTAAATGTCAGCTTGCACCTGTGGCAGCATGGCGCACAGCAAGGTCAGGCACAGCCCCACTCACGAAGGCATAAAGCCTGCGCCATTGAACTGGCTGGCGCCCGTCTCGCCGAAGCCGCCACCGCCGTACATGCTGCTAGAGGTGCTAGAGGGGTCACGTGCGGGGGTGCGCTAGCAGGCTGCGATCAACGGGGATTTAAAAGGGAGCGGGGGAGGGTGCTTGCGGTGACTTTCAGCAGTCGATGATGATGCGGGGAGTCCAAACAGGACGGTGGACAGGAAGCAGGGGGCGTGGGGAAGGAACAATGCATCGTGCCTGCTACGCCGTGCTGCGGGTTGGCCTCGCTGGCGCAAGCTATGTTCTGGTTCATTGCCCATCCAGTCCTGCTATTTCGGCCTGCCATCACATTGCTGGCAGCAATTCTCGCCGCTCAGCTTCGGTCTCGCCATGAGCCGTACATGGGCTGTGCAGCAGCAGCCCCACCACATAGCGTCTCAGCGTCCTGGCAGGCAGCGACCCGGGCTGCTGTCCACCCGAGCCAGCAGCACGGAGCCGCAGCAAGGCGCGCAGCCGCCGGCGGTGGCGCCGACGCAGCAGCAGACGCAGGCGCAGGTGGGCGCCTCCGCCGCCGCCTCCTCCAACACTTACGAGTTCACCTACCATGGCAGCGACGGCCGCATGAAAGCCACGTTTGAACAGGCCTTCAAAAACGTCGGCCGCAGCGGCGGCAGCAGCAGCAGCGCCCGCACGGCCGGCGGCGGGCCGGCGGCCCCCTGGGCGCTGAGCTACCAAATGGCTGAAAAGTACACGCTGTGGAACGACGACCTCAAGACCCGCCTGCTGAAGGTGCGCATGGCTCCGCCGCTGCCTGCGATAGCAGCACATTGTTGTCCCAGAGGCGCCGGCATGCATCCCCGCAGCACCACCACCAGCGCCGCCACCCACCGCCGCCGCTCCCCCATGCCTTGCCCCCGCCGTGTGCCCCGCAGCGCGTGGCGGCCAACGAGCTGGGCATCGGCGACGAGGAGCTGGAGGCGCGGCTGGTGCGGCTGCAGCTGCTGCTCCCCGACATCCAGACCAAGCTGGCGGGCATGAAGGCGCGGGTGGTGGCGCGCCTGGCGGGCGACGTGGAGCAGCTGCCCGCGCGGCTGCTGCGCCTCAAGGCCATCTTCCCGGGGGCCAACACCTCGCTGCTGGCCATGCGGCAGCCGGAGCTGGTGCTGGGGTTCGACCTGGAGCGGCTGCAGGGGATTGCGGAGGAGCTGCGCCAGATGCTGCCCATCCTGGACATTGGTGGGTGCATCATCAGAGTTTTGGAATTTGCCGCTGCTCTTGTCGGTCCATAGCAGGCAGGCTGCTCAGGCCAGCCTGGTTCCTGCAGGAAGCAGCTGCTTGCCGCTCCTGCTACTACAACCGCGCGTGCGTGCTTGATGAGTTGCTCATGCGTCGCGCTGCGCCTGCCCTTCCCTGCCCCAACCCCTGCTCCTCTCCTGCCCTGCGCGCAGACCGGCTGGTGGAGGCCAACCCCGCCATGCTAGATGTGCCGGGCCTGCAAAAGGCGATGGCAGAGGCGCAACGCATCATGCCGCAGCTGGATGTGCAGAAGGCGATGGCCACCGACCCGCAGCTCATCTTCTCCTTCCAGACCGGCAACCAGCTCATACCGTAAGTGGGGCATGGAGGGCGGGAGCTTGCTGTGTGTGTGTGTGTGTGTGTGTGTTCTGGGCCTGCAGGGGCTGAAGGTGGGGGCAGCCAACTGGCTGCTGCCGCTGCTTGCCTGTGCCTCTGCACGTGTTTCATGCTGGTGGAAAAGGGGGGCCTGGACTGACTAGCGAGTGTGGCCCTGTGCGCATGGAGCCACTACGACCAGCCAGGCATCACCCTGCACTGCTCGGCGCCCCCCTGCTGCACAGATATGATCAGTTCCAACCTGAGGGTGCCGCAGCCGAGGACGACGATGAATACGCGGCATACTATGAGTAGCAGCCCTCCGTCTCCTTTACGCAGCAATGTCATCCCTTGTTACAGCAATGGCAATGCTGCAATGCAGATTCTTGGCATAATCTAAACTGGAGAACAACGTTGGAGCCATGTCTGCTGTCGGCTTACGTGCTCGTCACACAGGCAGTCACTTCACATGCAAAGGGGCATCAGCGATGGCGACGCACAGTCAGCCCTGACGGGCGCATACCACAAGTTTGTCAGGGGAGTACACATTTGGGCGGGAATGGGAACAAGTTGGTCAACGAGGCGGTTCAGTGAACAGCCGGGTGGGCATCAGAGGGGTGGGCTCAGTGGGGAAAGACGCTCAAGGAAAAGGGAGGAGATCGGGGCAAGCGGTGGGAGGTAGAGGGCATGGTTCCGAAGTTTGGTTTTGGGTTTCAACAACAGGCTTGCCCACGGCCTGGGTTTGTGGGCTCCGATTGTGGGCTCCAGCCGCCTGCTCAGGCAGTCTTCACAGCCCCACCCGCAGCGGCAGCGGCAGCGGCGGCTGCTGCAGCGGCAGCCTGGGCCGCCGCGGCGGCGGCGCTTGCGGCATCAGATGGCGCCTTGGCCACACTCGTGGCGATGGCGGGCACGTCTGGGATGACGTCGCGGGCGGCCACCAGCGCCACGCCCGTCTCGCCCAGGGCCTGCTTGATGATGGTCTGGAACGAGGCAGCGTCCTTGTTGAGGGCTGCCAGGCGCTGGTACTGGGACTCCTCCTCCTCGGCATGCTTGCTGCACAGGCAGGGGGCGCGGGCAAGGTGAGGGCCTAGCAGGCTCGCGAAGACAGCTGGATGATGATCTGGAACCTGCCACCGAGCGGCGGGCTGCACAGGCTGCAGATGCGGCTCACACATGCCCCGCCTCACTTGGTGGCGATGGTGTAGTTGTCCTGCAGCTGCTGCAGCTTGCGCTGGGCATCAATCAGCTTGGGGTCCTGGGCCAGCACCTTGCCAGACAGGGCATCGGCCGTGTCCTTGGCGTGGCTGGCCTGCGGGGGCGGCGAGGGGCAGAGCGCGTGGCATCCATCAGCGCGCAACCCGATGCAGCGGGCAGGCCCGCCTCGACGGGCAGGTGCGGAGCAAGGTGGCCAAGTGTGGGAGGCAAGCACATGCCACATGCACCACCCGGGTCTCCCACCTTGGTGCGGGCGGTAATCATGGCATCGTATGCCTTGTTCACAAACTTCTGCTTGTGCTGCAGCGGGACGGAAGGGCTGGAAAGCGCGTTGGCGGGGCCGTGGCCAGAGGCAGCGGGGCACTACCCTCAGCCCTGCACAGGCCCGCGGCTCGCCCCAAGGCTGCAACGGGGTCCCCGTGGGGAGCGCGGCAACAGGCGGCTGGATGGGGCACCTTGAGGCGCCCTGAGAAGGCCATGCAGGCAGGCAGGGGCAGGGAGCAGGGGCCTCACTCACGTATGCATCCAGGTACTTGGCGTCCCAGGCATCTAGTGGGCCCAGCGCCTCGGACTGAATCTTCACCAACAGGTCACCCTTGACCTGACAGGCCACAGCGGCAGCACACAGCACTTAAGATACCAGCGGCGCATACGTTTTGCGGTGTATGCCAGTGACGGCTGCCACGGCATGACGCAGGGCATGCGCGCTTCCACGACTTTCCTGCACGGCCGCTGGGTAGCCACTGCTGTATCTCCCTGAGCAACCCGTGGCTCACAGCTGCGCCATGCACCTTGGTGAGGGAGTCGGCGGAGAAGCCCTTGCCGCCAATGGGGTCGTGCTGCTCGGTCATGGAGTGGTCCACCGCTTCCTTGCTATCGTAAACGTGAGGCAGAGGCGTGTTGAGTACGGTGTTGGCCGTGTCCAGCGCCGTCTGCAAGCGGGGAGGTTGCAGGGAAGAGGTGCGGCCGGGGAGCAGTCGGGCAACGGGAGAGTCACAGCACTGGGCGGGGGCGGGGGTGGGTGCCGCATGTACTGAAGCGAACAAAGCCCTGTTGACTCACCTCCGCTGACTTGCTCAGGGCCTTGAGGTCCTTGGTGGCCTTGATGAGCTTGTTGTGCAGGTCAGTCGCTTCGCGCAGCTGGGAGGAGCAGCGGGAGGAGCTCCGTGAACGGCATGCACGCAACATCAGAAGGTGCGGCCCGCACACGGCTGTTTGGCACCATCCTCACCATGGCGAAGCAGCGCGACTTCGGGTCGCCCTTGGCCTCGAAGAGAACTGTTTGTTTGATGGTGTCGTATGCGCCGCCGGTGCTGACACTCTTGCTGCCTGAGCAACCCATACTGAATGGCGCGGTGTTTGGTGCGGGTGTCGGGACTCTCGGGTGCTGCGGCAGCAGAGGGCGATGGTCGGGTGAGGGAGGGTGGAGGTAGGTAAGGGGGTGGCCTGGGCGCTGAGCAACGTGAAAGGGAGAGCGCTGCAGCTGCACCGAGCGATTTATGAGGCGCAGCACGGCATCGCACGGCCCGCGGGGCAATCCGTTCTTCACAACGTGAGGATGACTTAAGGCGCAGCTAATGCAACAATTCCTGGTAATGCATGGGTCCGAGTTATGCGGTGACTGGGCACCCACCGCAAGGGCGGCCTGTCTGGCTCGGCGATGCCGAGCCTGAGACTGTTGCGCTTCAACCCCAAGGGTCCACATAGGCTGCATGTTCCACGATTCAAGGCGCCATAGAGCGTAGGTCAGGAAGGCCAGCATCGCACTGGAACAACAGCAGCACCCAGCGCTAGCCGCTCGCCGCCTTTTGTTGGCGTGCCCGAAACTCGCCAAAGCACCGTGCCAGCCGCTGCAGCAGCTCCTCAATGTCGGCCTCGAGGGTGCCCAGCGCCGCAGCCACGGTCAGGTAGTCGCAGGGGTAGGCGTCATGGTGGGCTCCATAGCCGGCAAACGCCAGGCCGCCCACCTCAGCGCGCTTGCCGCGGGCCACCACCCGCGTGCCCGACACGCAGCGGCCAAACAGCATGGATCCCAGGAAAGTGATGGGCGGCCCAGCCTGGCTGCCCTGCTGCTGCTGCTGCTCCGGTGGCTGCTTCAAATTCTGCTGCTGCTGCTGCTCGGCTAGCAGCTCCGCTGGCTGCTCCGCTGGTTGCCCCAACTCCTGCTGCAGCTGCGGCTGAGCCACGGCCGGCTGCCCTCCCGGCTGCGCCACCTGCTGCCTCGCCTCGACCGCCGGCCCAAAGCTGGCTAGCGACAGCGCCAGCGAGATGGGGTTCCCAGGCGTCTCCAGCACCCGCTCGCCATGCTGCTCTGCAAACTGGCGCAGCAGGCGTGCCGTGGCGCTGTGCAGCTGCTCCCGCTGCTGCAGCATGCGGCGCCAGCCGGTGGCACCCCAGTGCAGCAGCGTGATGAGCAGGTCCAGCAGCGGCGACATGCAGGCGCGACCCGGGTACAAGGAGGCCACCCGCTCCACCTGCAGGCAGGGCGGTGCATGTGGGTGGGGAGGTGCAGAGCGGCAGGCATGCCCGCTGGTCTCCCACTGCGGAGAAGGCTGCGCGCATCCAAGTGCGGCAGCCCAGCTTCCACCTTCCTGCCAGAAGCACCAACAGCGGCGGGCCCGTGCCGTTGCCCACCCAGCAGGCGCACCAGCTGCGTGGCGCCGGCGCGTGCAGCGATGACGGCGCCCCCTACTGGCACCATGAAATTCTTGTCGGTGCTCTGCACCACAGCATCAACCCGCCCCTTGCGCCACGCAGAGCACACCTGCAGGCACGACCACGGCGCTGCCGTCGGCTGGCCGGGCGGCGTGGGGGTTCTGCCCTGCCGCGGGGTGGCCGCCCGAGAGGTGCTGAAGCACAGCACAGCACGGCACAGCACAGCACAGCAACCAAGCAACAACCGCTCCTTCCCCTTGTTGCCCGCCTGCTCGCACAGTGCCGCCGACTGCACGCCATAGGCGTTGTTGATAATGTGGGCGACGCCGGCCTGCTGGCACAGCTTGGCAACTGCATGGCAGGCAGCCGGACAGGTGCAGGACGCTGGGTGCTCGGGCGGCCGGCAGCATCCGAATAGGCAGAGCCAGCTTCAAGGAAGCAATGCCCAGCAGCGACTGACCTGCCACTACATCGTCGGCAGCACGTGGCGCAAAGCAGCTGGTGGTGGTGACAATGCACGCAATGGCATCTGCCCCCAGCTGCTCCACCTGCTGGCACAGCGCCTGCAGGCAGGGAGGCCGAGGGCACAAGCTCACCACTGCCGCTTGCATGCAATGCATGGCTGCTCACTGTGGCCGTGGGTCGCAACGCAACGGCGCGCAGGTGCACTGTGCGGTCACGCTGGCCAGTGCCGGCACGGCCGCCTTGCCTGCATGTCTGTCACCAGCTGGTCGCCCTCCAGGCGCAGCGGCACCACCACGGGCTCAAACCCCGAGGCCTGGATGGACTTGAGGCACGTCTTCTGGTCGATGCGCGGCCACAGCACATACCTGCCAGGCAAAGGTGGAATGGCAGCTGCTTATGGGGTTGGCTGTCCCACTGCCCCACAAAAGAGGAGCCGCAACAAGAGCTGCCTTAGCCTGGCCCCCAGGGGCACAGGTGCAGGGTGGCATGGCACTCAGGGCCGCCACCGCGCTACGCCACACCAGCCAGGCAGCGCACCTGGCGGCGGGCGGGCGCGTGCCGCGCAGCGCCAGCAGCGTGGCTGTGATGGCCATGCCAGTGGCCAGCGGCACCACCAGCGCCTGCCCCACCTCCCTCAGGCCCGCCGCCTCCAGCGCATCCGCCGCCAGCAGGTGCGTGAGCTTGGCCAGCAGGGAGGAGCCGGCTGCCTTGGGCTGCTCCGCGGCAATATCTCCTGCAAACGGTAAGCCGGTAAGCGGTGGATGGAGCCTGGTGGTGGAGGCAGGCAGCGGGTTAGGGGTGGCGATGTGCGGGGCACACACCCAGCTTGCCTGAGCGTCCGATGCCGTGCGCCAGGCGGTAGTGGCGGCGCGCCACCAGCTCGCTGGCCACCCGCGCCTCGCGCTCCCCCACCCCCACATTGTCCAGGAAGTTGTTGCTGTCCATCATGGCCGCATCCTGCGAGCCAACAGGGGTGGGGGTGTGCGGCCTGATCGGCTGGCTTGTAGACGTGGAAGGGTGTTCCATCGCCAGCCTGCCATGGCGCAGTGCGTGATGAAAGTTGGCGCTTGTCAGCAATGCATGGCAGCCGTCTTGCCTGCAGCAGCATCTCGATGGTGGCATCGTCCCAGCCCTGCTCAGGCAGGCGGCGCTGGGAGAGGAGCGTCTTGATGAGGCGCCGCCGCGCCGCCAGTGCCTGGCTGCCCTGCTGGACGTAGGTCTTGGAGACGAGGGAGCAGGCGACGGCGCAGTTGTCGGCATCCATCGTGTTCACACCTCAAGCGGCGCCGCAGCTCTGCAAAGTGAATGGAGGACGTGGAGAAGGAATGCCATCAGGCTCAAGCGAAGGAGAGCGGTGGCGGCCAGGCGGCGGTGGCAAGGCATGGTGCCTGCGGCGCTCCCATGGGCCCCACGCATCGCATATGATCAGTTCGACGCAGTGAGCAAGCGTACATCCACCTGGGGGTTCGGTGAGCGGCTGCGCAACTTGGTACGCTCAGCAACGGCCACAGGGACATGCACCGCAGCCTGATCCGAAGAGGGGTGATGGCAGGCATCAAATTGAGGATGCAACGCGGCGAAAACACATGTCACCAGCACCCACAGTACAGGTTGAGACGTACACCCTTGTCCAAGAGCGACGCAATCTAATGCCTGCTTGATACCAAACACATTCATGATCGCCTCAGGGGCCGACAGGTCCACAGCAACCTCTGATGGCTGAGTCTGAGTTCAGCGCCGATCATTCCAAGCTGCTGGCGCTGGAGGCGGCGGCTCTGGCGGATGTAGAACAGTACGGTGTCTGCTCCCTGGCGGACAAAGCTCGGGTGCAGAAGCTATCGCTGCGCATACAAGACAAGCTGTCGCAGATACGTGCCCTGACGCGTGATCTGGAGCTGCTGGTGGAGGAACTGGACAGGCAAGGCGGTGCTGAGGGCGGGGGCAATGCTGCGGCCGCCTGCGTGGGCCTGCCGCCAGTCCGCCCTGGCCACCCGCTGCCACCGCTCTGGCCTCGGTCGCTCCTGCTTCCTTCGTGCTCATGCCTCCTTGCCCTGATTGCAGCGACGAGGAGCGGCAGCAGGTGGAGTCGCTGCTGGCACACCACAAGGTGGAGTATGATCGCATCCAGGCGGCTTTCAAGCAGGCAGCGCTGGCCCAGCGCACCGCCGCGCTGCGCAGCGCAGCTGAGGAGCGGCGCGAGCTGCTGTCGGGCGCCGACGCTGCGGCGCGGCTGCGAAAGCTGCAGACCGAGGCGGACAGCGTGGCGCTGGCAGAGGATGTGACGGGGGGCCTGCGCCGCACGCGCCAGGTGGGGGATGCATGCAGGACTCTCTCCGCGATTTGGCCTAGCCTCTCTGGCCCACAGTGTATCAGATGCTGCCGCAAGGAGGGCCCCCCCAACGTCCCTCATTCTCATGTTGCCACCCTCCCCCCCGTCGGCCACAGGTGCTGGCGGAGGAGCTGGAGCACACGAGCGCCACGCTGGCGGCCATGGAGGCCTCCCACGCCTCGCTGGCCAAGACGCGGGACGAGTACCGCGGCCAGCACGGCCAGCTCAAGCGCAGCAAGGGGCTGCTGGGCACGCTCAACTGGCAGGCAAAGTCGGTGCGTGGGTTGCGATGCGGGAGCTGACAGGCGCACGGCAGGGGCCGCCCTCTGCCCGTCTGCCCTGCCCTTCATGCACCAGACATGAGATTCCCTCCCTGACGCAAGCCCCTTCCATCCATCCTGTGTTCCACGCCTACAGGAGACGTATATGCTGTGGTTTGGGCTCACCCTCTTTGTGCTGGTGTGTGCCTACATCTTCCAGAAGCGGGCCGGGCACTTCATCCCCGACCGCCTCAAGCCGGGCTCCCTGCTCAAGGCCGCCGGGCTGACGGCACGCAGCCGACCCATGCCGGTGCCCGCGCCCACGCAGCGGCTGCGGCCCCAGGCGCCGCCGCCGCGGGGTCGCGTGCCGCCGCCGCAGCAGCCGCAAGCCGCCGTGGAGCAGCAGGCAGCCTGGGAGGAGGAGGAGGTGGAGCCATACATGCCGGCGCCACCCGCCCCGGTGCCTGACAAGCGCGAGGCCGCACCTGCACATGACCAGGAGCAGGAGCTGCCGCCGTACGAGCCTTATGATGGGGTGGAGGTGGAGCACTCCGTGTATGGGCCAGCATCGGCGGTGCCACAGGAGGCGCCGCCAGCGATGCAAGATCCGGCGCCAGATGTGCAGCAGGAGGCGGCGCCTGTAGCGGCGCAGGCGCAGGAGGAGCCGGCGCAAACCGAATTCAAGCAGCAGCTGGAACCTGTGGAGCAGGTGGAGCCGGAGCAGCAGCCCGAGGCAGCTGAGGTCGCGATGGACGGGGCAGATGCTGATGTGGAGCAGCTGGCTGCAGGCACAGATCCTGCGGCAATGCCGGCCACCCAGCCAGCAGAATTGCAACCGGAGCACAGCATGCCGCCAGAGGAGACAGCAGCAGAACATCAGCAGGGGGAAGCAGGCGAGGTTCAGCAGGAGGCGGCGCCACAGGAGCCCGTGCGGCAGGAGCCTGCTTCAGCTGCAGAGGCTTCTTCGGTGGAGCAGCCGCCAGTTGCCACACAAGCTGAGGTGCACGAGCCTCCACCCTCACAGCAGGAGGCGGGCAGCGGCGCTGGCGGAGACCCAGAGTTGTTGGATGCGCTGCCGCAGCCAGACGCCGTGAGAGGCGTGCCTCTGGAGCAGGCGCCAGACGCCGCTGCAGACGAACACGAACCTGCAGTGTGGCCCGAGGGGGCTCCAGAGTTTGACAACACCGAGCCCGGCAGCCCGGCCTACGCGGCGGCGCATGCGGCGGCAGCGGCCGGGGACCAGCAGCCTGCCGACGGCCGCAGCAACATCATCCACGACAGGCAGGGCCGGCCGATTGTGGTGGACAGAGTGGAGGAGTATGTTCGCAACCCACACAAGCACGCGGGTGCAGCCGATCAGCAGCAGGCGGCGGTAGGGCAGCCGGACGAGGAGCAGCCGCCCGGGGAGCATCCTGCGGAGCCTGCCAAGCCGGCGCCGGCGGCTGCAGACGGGCAGGCCCATGATGAGCTGTGACGTGGCCTCTTGTTGATTGGCGTGTGCTTCTGTGTGCTGGAGTTGGCTGTACATTATCACTCTGTGGCGCAAGCATCGGTGGAGCAGGCAGAGGCGGGCTGCGAGCCAGGGCGCAGCAGAGCTATCGCCTGTTCCGGGAAGGCAGGGCACGGGTTTGTGGGACTGTCACAAATCACTGCATCGTGCTGCAAACATCTGTGGGAGCCATTCAACAGGGAACATGATGGGCTCTATCTCCTGACCTTGGAAAAATGCGGCATGCTGCCGCCTGCGCCACGCTGCGCACGGCGTGATGCGGCCATAGCCTCATCAGGGGTTTCGCCCACCAGTCGCATTGCGTCGTTGCCCTTCCAGGATCGCCTGCATACCACTGCCAGCCGTTCCTAGGAATTGCTGGAGGCGGGAGGAGCAGCAGACTCAGCTCGCAAATCCTCGACATGAGGGGCACACAGCAGGCCCTGAGGGCCCTGAAGCACCTGGTGGTGCATTTTGAGCCGGAGCTTCTGCAGCTCTCGGAGCGCCTGGTGTCCAGCTCGCTAGCCAGCACTTCGGGCGCCTCTGCTGCCGCGATCATGGCTGCGCTGCGCAGCGAGCCTGCCCTACAGCGCCTGGCGCCGCGGTTGCTGAGCACCCTGGCCGGCGGCGGGCGTGGCGGCGTGGCGCGGCAGGCGGGCCAACTTGCCGGCAGGCTGCTACGGCAGCAGGAGGCGCAGCAGGTGCGTTGGCACTGTTCAACTGCTCGTAGGCATGCGGAGAGCGCAGCGGCCGGTGCAGGCTGGGCGCTGCGCGCCGCCGCTGCTTGCCGGGCCGGCAATTACGTCAGCCTGCCCTGACCGCCCCCCTCGCCTTTCGCCGCGTGGGTGCAGGCGCAGGCGGTCGCCCCCTGGCGACGCCTGTTCAGCAGCGAGACGCCGCGCCGCGGCTGGGACAAGTTCTATCCCAAGGGCAAGGGGCGGCGGCCAGAGGGGGAGGCCAAGGGGGCCAAGGGTGAGCGAGGCGCCCGGCAGGCGGCGGCGTGCCTGCCGCCTTCCGGATGGCGCCGACGACTGTTTGCCTCGCTGCTGTCGCCGACAGCCAGCCACTCACCCAGCAGTTCGCCCCCCACTCAACCAATGGTGCCACCCGCAACCGCAATACCGCAACGCACCCTCCTCCCCACTCGCCCCCTGCCACGCAGAGGCGCCCAAGAAGCCTGCCGAGGGCGGCGTCGCCGGCGGCGGCGGCCCCGGCGGCCCCGGCTCCGACTCGTTCGAGGCCCTGACCAAGAAGGGCCTGCAGCAGGTGGCTCCCATCCTGCTGGTCATGCTGGCGGCGGCCACGCTGATGGGCGCGGGGCGGCAGGATGCGCAGGAGGTGTCGTTCCAGTGGTTCAAGGCGCAGCTGCTGGCCAAGGGGGTGGTGGACAAGGTGGAGGTGGCCAACAAGCAGATGGTCAAGGTGACCCTCGGGGGCGGCTGGGGCCCCGGGTGGGGGTGGGGTGGGGGTTTGCGCCGCGCAATTAGGTGTGTCGGGTGGCCTGGCAGGGACCACAGTGCCAAAGCCGGGGTAGTGGCGGGTGAGGGGCTGGGTGCGAGCAGGCGGCGCCCACCTCAGCATTGAGCGCACCCGTTCAGCAGCTGCTGACGGTTAACCCCTTCCCTCGCCGCTGCCCTCCCCTTGCCGCCGCAGGTGTATGTGCGCCCGGTGTCGGCGGGGCGCCGCCCCGCGGGCGCCGACGCCGGCGCCGGCGCCGGCGAGCTGCTGATCGGAAGCGAGGGCGGGGCGGAGGACGCGGCGTACGGCGCGGGCGCGCCGGGCGGCGGCGGCGGCGGCGCGGGCGCGGGCCAGGGCCGCGGCGTCTACAAGTTTTACTTCAACATCGGCAGCGTGGACTCGTTTGAGCATGCGATGGAGGAGGCGCAGGAGGCGATGGGGGTGCCCAGCAACAAGTGAGCCGAGGCACAGCCTGGGCGCAGCCTGGCCGTGGCTGCCAGCGGGTCGAGCTGGCGCCAGCGAGGGCGCTGCGGCAGCGGCCGCTGCTCCCTGGCCCTTGCCCCTGCCCGGGTCGGCCGCGGCCGCGCCGCTCACCAGCTCCTGTACTGCCTCATGTACCGCTGCTGTACCGCCCTCCTGTACCGCAGGATGGTGCCCATCGTGTACACCAGCGAGGTCAGCTGGCAGCAGGAGCTGTGGCGCCTCCTGCCCACCATCCTGCTCATCGGCGGCTACGTGTGGTTCACGCGCCGCCAGCTGGGCGGCCTGGGCGGCGGCGGCGGGCCCGGCGGCCGCGGCATCTTCAACGTCGGCAAGGCCTCGGTGAGAGGGCGGGGGTGGGTGGGCCCTGCTGGGTTGGGCTGGGCCGCCGGCAGCCCTGCCGGCCACGCCTGTCGCTCACCCTGCGCCAGCCTCCCTCTCCGCACCCGCCCTTGGTGCGTGCTGGTCCCACCCCGCCTGACAGTCGCCCCTCACCACTTTACCCCTCACCCCCCACCCCCCACCCCCGCCAGATCACCCTGCTGGACAAGAACGCCAAGAACAAGGTGACGTTCAAGGATGTGGCGGGGTGCGACGAGGCCAAGGTGAGGCCGGGCCGCCCCAGACATGAATCGCCTGCCCCCAACGCGCCTGAGCCGCTGCCGCCGCTGCGCCGCCCCGCCACCCTGTCACCCTGCGCCGCCGCCACCTCACCTGCCATCCTCCATCCTCGACCCCACCCGCCCTGCGCCGCCGCCGCCTCGCCTGCCCCCGCCATCCTCGCCCCCCACCCCACCTCACCTCACCCCACCCACACCACCACACCACCCACACCACCACCACCACACCACCCCTGCCCGCAGGTGGAGATCATGGAGTTTGTGAACTTCCTGAAGAACCCGGGCAAGTACAAGGAGCTGGGGGCCAAGATACCCAAGGGCGCGCTGCTGGTGGGGCCCCCCGGCACCGGCAAGACGCTGCTGGCCAAGGCCACCGCGGGAGAGGCGGGTGTCCCCTTCCTCACCATCTCGGGTGAGGGGTGGGGCAGGGCGTGGTGGCGGCGGCAGCAGGCGCCACATCATGCACATCCCCTGTGGGACAGCACAGGACGCAGCTCCCCCCGCCAGTGCCCGGCAGCGGCACCCCACGCGCTTGCCCCCTGCCCGGCAACCTGTGCCACCGCCCGCCCTCCCGCTTGCTCACGTGCCCGCGCGCCACACCCACCCCTCGCCCTCGCCCCGCAGGCAGCGACTTCATGGAGATGTTTGTGGGGGTGGGCTGGGAGGCTGGGTTGAGCAGCCAGGGAGGAGTGTTTGCAGGTGGGCCGGGTGGCCGGCGCAGCGGGGCCGGCACGCCAGTCGGGCCGCGGGGCGACGGCGCAACCTGGGCACCTGCGCCTGCTGAGGAG